CTGAAGTGGCCTGCAGTACTGCACCCTAATCACTGCGCCACCTCGGCTCTCTTATATATAGGATGGTTTAAACAAATGCAAATACAAACAAGATATGAGAAAGATGTTAGAGTATGATTTTAATATGGAAAAGTCAGAATTAGATAGGATACTCATGGGAACAGATGAAAAAATGGTTACAAAATTGTACAATTATCTACTTAGAATATACCTAGAAGAAGAAGTTAAAGAAACAATGATAAGATGGGCAAAAAACTTTGGATATACAATAGAACTAGAAAAATGGCAACAACTATGGGAAAGGAATTATAATCTGACAATGGCGACAGCATATAAAGACAATTTATATAAAATGTTTTATAGATGGCACATGACACCTGAAAGATTAGCAAAAATGTTTAAGGATAAATCAACTTAATGTTGGAAATGTCACCAATTGCCAGGAACGTTTTATCATATATGGTGGATGTGTAGCTATGCAAAAAGCTATTGGGTTAAAATACAAATATGGTTAGTGAAAATGTTACATAAACCCATAGAGTTTAAGCCAGAGATATTTTTATTGGGTATTCTACCAGAGAAATACAGTAAAGAAGATTCATATTTGATTGTACAAATAATAACAGCAGTTAGAATTGTATTTGCACAAAACTGGAAAGCAGATAAAATACTATCAGAAGGGGAGGTAATAAAGAAGCTATTAGACTGTGCAGAAATGAATAGGTTGACATTGATAATAAAGGACAAGGAGGAATCAGTGTGCTACAGGGCGCGATTTTGAGTGGCTTGAAAAAAGATAATACATAGAAAGAAAAAGGAACAAAACATGAAATAAGTATCTCAGATGACACATGATTAATATAGGGGGACACATGATTAATATAGGGGGAATAAGAAAATATCAAACTAAATATACAGGCAGAAAAATGATATGAATTGACATGTTAAATAACAATTATAAGAATGTATATCTAAGAATGAATTTGAAAGGAAAAATAAAAAACATTTTACAAAAAAAGAGCAAATATTACTGTTTCATACCTGATTGTTTTCAATAATGCGGAAAAGTTGTAACTTAAATAATAGGAAAAGAATAAATCCTGATAAAGTTAGAGTAATTTAAATGAAAAACAACATATAAAATGTAAAGACCTGATATCTAGATGAATGAGACATAAGTACTTTTTTGACACAGGATCAAAACCTCTTTAATAAAAGAAACTCTGGTTATAAGTTTTATGATTTTTCATACAAGGAATGATAATTGGATTTACCATGCATTGTTGCCACATTTAGAAAGTTAAAATTTATATCACTTAGAAAACTCATTAAGATCAAAATCCTATGTATAGGAATGGTAGTTTTTGATAGCGCTGCTTTTGAGCATCACAACAATATTCATATCAAAATCCAATTCTTGACTAGCTAATATAATTTTGTAGTTGACTTGATTAAAATTTTTGTTTACGCACAAATAAAAAGAATGAAGGCATTAAGAAAATTCTCAATCCCATTATTTATATATATTATTTTATGTTCACAAATGTGAGTTCATATGTAAACAATTGTTTCAGTGGCTCTGAATCAATCTTGACTCCTGGATGATCATGTCTATGCAGCTTACTTGGCAACATTTTCAGAAGTAACTTTCCATTGTCGTCTTCCTCAGGCTGAAATAGAGTAATTGGCTCAGCCTGTTGGCTTCAGTGTCTAGAGCAGGACTAAAATTCATATCACCTAATTTCTAAACTATAGTTACAGTGGCCTGTATTTACTGCATCAAAGTAGCTCGCTCTTGTACTTAGGTAGTTACAGATCCCACATTACAACTATTTCAATTTCCAATTAATTGTTCTAATTAATTATTTATTGTTCTATTAGCTTATTTAAATTTTAATTATGATTAATCAGAAACAGTTCTCATTCATTGTTAAATTACATTTATTGGCAACCCTTAATAGTAATTCTAGATTTTAATTGAAATGATGTTTTGAATATTTTGAAGAATACTAATTTTCATTAAATTCATTAATGAAAATTAGTATTCATTAATGAATTTAATGTCCATGATGGCGAACTTATGGCATGCGTGCCAAAGGTGGCACACGCGGAGTCGCCTCAGCTCTGCCATGCACGTGCGCGCACCTTCTGCCAGGCAGTTGGTTTTTGGGTCTCTGCCTTCCATTTGAAGGGGGCGGGGTGCATGCAGGAGATGCATGCATATGCGGGGGCGGGGCACATGCAGGGGTCATGCACACACATGCGGGACAGGGTGTGCATGGTGGGCGTTTGCATGTGCATGGATGGGTGCATGCGGGGGAGGTGCTGGGGGACACGCAATGCGTGCCATAGGTTCACCATCACGGGCCTACAAGATAAGAAACAGTACAGCTATAAAAGTTATAAGACATATTGAATTCAGCAGAAAACTGTTAAGTATTGCCTTGTTAAATTCATACTTGATGGGCATATTTTTATTAAGTAATTATTTTTGAATAAATTATATCAATATCTCTTGGTTTATTTCCATGTCTTTTAGGAATTCGGAGCCCTACAGAACCTGCATGCAAAGTTGCATTTGAAAATGAACAAGATAGCAACAGCTTGACCAGGCCTCAGAGAAAACGCAGTTTGGTCACAACTGAACCTCAGCATGTGACCTTAATAATCTTTGGAATTGGCATGGTAAATCGCACACATCTTGAAGCAGATATTGGTGGGCTAACAATGGAATCGGAACTGAAGAGAATCCATGGTAGCTTCACACTCAAAGAAAAAATGAAAGGTAGAAGATTTTAATTGAATACATTTGTTTTGACTTAATAAAAATGAGAAGCGGGATATAGAATAAAATATATAATGCAAGAGTATGAGCCAGACTGCTTTTGGAAAAAATGTTTCTCTTATTGAAATAATGAAAACATGATTCTGTTTAGTGTATTTTAATGTAAAAGTAATTAGGATATTGCTGGAATCTCACATTAAAACTGGTGAGATTTGAGTTCATAGTCTTATTTACTTATATGAAGCTTACCTTGACTAATACAAATCTTAGCTACCTTACCTCATTGGCTTATTTGGGGAATATAATGAGTTGGTATTATGGATCACTTTAAGTTAAATGAAGGGTATAACTATAATAGTGTTTTGCAAAACCATAAGAAAATGAAAAAGTATGTTAGTTGCCTGGCCCAAATTATATTAAAATGTTCTAACTTCAAAATTTGTTACTAAAAATGTCCATATGGTCTACTTTCTCCAAACATTTATTGTTATAAGGGTCTTATATTTTGCCTGTTGTATTTCTAATAAGAATTATGTGTGAATGTAAAAAATAAATAATTTTTCATTTTAGTTTAAATATATTTTTTTCCTATTAAAGATGTACTTCACCAAAAGATGACGGAGACAAGTGCTACTGCTCATATAGGTGGTGTTAATATTGTTCTCCTGGAAGGGATCACACCAAATATCCAGTGAGTTCAAATAAAAATGATATTTGAATTGTTATTCATAAAGACAGAAGTTATGCCCAGTATAAAGATTAGGTTCAATGTTTCTAGTAATTTAACTGAATTTAATTTTCTTAAGGACTACTGTATTTAGGCAAAACAAACAATGGCAAAAGTGAAACAGAATGCCATTTATTTGACTTTTAGAGTTAACTAAAGAAGTTAATAATAATCATTATAATGAATCAAATAGTCATTAATATTTATATGATAGCTGGAGTGCAAGATTTTCCCGAACAAAGCAGGAACTAGGTAAAAATTCAAGGACCATTTTGATACAAGATTTTAATTAAATCACTAAACTATGTTAATCCTGCCACGTTTTAATTTGATGTTTCTAATATATTGTCTTTTAGTCTTTTTTCTGTCCCTAGCAATTAGATGTATTTAACCTAACTATAACAATTACAATTAATCTATTACTATTTTTATGTCATATTTTTATGTTTCTCATGATCATGGTACCATTTTTTTCCTGATGATGCTGCCATTATTGAACATTATAGTTATTTATAGTTATGGAATTTTTGGCAAGAATAATTAAAAAACAAAATGTTATTTTCTTAATATAATCACACTTTCACTGGATTCTTTTTTGACAAATTCACTGAATTAGTGTTGGATTTCCTAGAAAAGGTTTTTTTAAAAAAACAACAGTATTCTTAATTGAAGTAGTTATATTTTTAGAAAGCTTTAAAATAGTGTGTTGCTTGGTAACTAAGCATTTAACTTTGATAAGGTTTATCTGATGTTAAAACAATTGTTTTCCTTTTTGTGCATTTTAGTCCTTGAAAATTTTGCTGATATACAGTATATATATTTCATTTTCTCCTTCTTACATACTTGAAAATGTCTGGTTGTTACAATTTTATACTTAAACACTTTAAATAGAATAGCAACGTCAGGACACTATGAGTATGTTGGATAGTTTACTTTCACATATTTCATTAAATCTATCTGCAGTCATGTGAAAAAAGAAAGTATACCCTTTTTTAATTCGGTGGTTTTACAAATCAGGCCATAGTAAAAAACCATCTGCAGTTATTAAAAGTAAGTAAATACAACCTCAGATGAATAGAAAGCCAAAATGGAGAATGGGTATACTTTCTTTTTCACATGACTGTAGATAATGGGGTTTTTTTCCCTGTAAAATATATTAAGATTAAGAGAATATGGGAAGAACTAATTTTGGGATCAGTTTTTCTCAGGTGCTATATATTTTCATATCAAAGATATTGAGAATCTATTAATTCTTTGAAATCCTTTTCTGGATAAATTTGCATTTAACCAACTTAAATAAAACTTATCAATTATATATTACTTCAAAAGATAGCCAGATGTTTTAATGTTTGTATAAATGCTTAATTACAGTAATAAGAATGCTATAAAAATAAGAATTAGTTACAAGACTACTTATAAATTTACATCTGTCCTGAGAGTTTCAGTGTATGATCCAGTAGGTGAAAGAGGTTCTCTTATCTGATTAAATTTATCCAGTTATTGATCTTATATAAATTTTCCATGCATACACTTTTGGAGCATAAACATACTGAAATGAATGGCTTGCTTATTATTCTTTGCAGTATTGAAATCACCAGTTGTCACTGCTTATATGATAATTTTTCAAGTATTAGAACGTATTTTGAATTAACAATATCTGACTAACTCTTCTGCATGACTTTTTATTCCTTAATTTGCTTTGTTTTGTTTTTTGCTTTCATCCAATCTTCACATGTAGGCTGGAGGATTTTCCTACATCACCAACAAGCACAGCCAAACAGGAATTTCTGTATGTCATGTTGTCTTTAAATGACTTTCAGATAGAATGTAGTATAGTTGAAGATGTGCATAGTATAGTTAAGATGCATTTTTCTGTATACTTAACTAGTTTTATTATGAAATACAGTACAAATACAATATGAAATTTGAATCAGCATATATTAGAAGTTTTGAACCATGTGTTTTATGCTTTTGATTTATTGACAGAATGGGGCTTGGGGATTCTTTTGGTGCCTTCTGGCTAGTGTTGATCTTGGTAACTGCCTGGCCAAGTCTGTAGTTTTCCTGGCAAGATTTCAGAAGTGCCATTGCCTCTTTCCTAAAATTGAGAATGATTGACTGGCCCAACTGGCTTTGTGCTTAAGGCAAGACTAGAAATCATGTTCCCATGCTTTCTAGCCTGTTACATTTAACACTGCACTAAACTGACGCTTTGCAGACTCGTTCATATTTTTAAAGTAATTTTTTTTTTAAAATTGTAACTTTTCTAATGTCACTCATTGGCATTATGAGAATATTGAGAATACTGACTTTATTCTGTGAGGATAATAAAAGGATGATAGTTCTGACCTTGCATTGATTAACAAACACCGTCCTATTGTTACACTATAGTATTGTTATGTTAAACATTGTTAAGATGTTACAACAAAAATTATTACACATCACAGAAACATTTGATATAAATCCCATCACAAAAGTGTGCATGGAATGTCTCATCTAAAGGAGCTTTTCTGTATACAATGAAAGCATTTACTTTATAATATTTTCATGCACACAGCTGTGCTCCTGATATCACAGGTTCTAAACAGATATTATCATTGCATAGCCCAGTGATGGCGAACCTTTTCAGCACAGAGTGCCCAAACCAGTACGTGCGTGCATGTGTGCGCGTGCATATGCCGGAGTGCCAAAAACCTGAAGACCAGCTGGCTGGCGTGCTCATGGCTCCTTTTGCCTGGTTTTGGGGCCGTTTTCAGGATGTTGTTTAGGCCGTTTTCAGACCATTTTGACCCCAAAAAGGGCCTGAAAAGGGCCCGAAAAATGATCTGAAAATGAACTGAAAACAACCCCAAAACTGGCCTGAAAATGATCTGAAAACGGCCCAAAAATGGCCTGTTTTTGGGATAATATTTGGGCCGTTTTCAGGCGCCTGTGAAGACCAGCTGGCTGGCGCGCATGTTGGAAACCAGAAGAGTAGCTGGCGACAGCACATGTGCCCACAGAGAGTGCTCTACGTGCCACCTGTGGCAAACGCGCCATAGGTTGAAATCACAGGCATAGCCTGATACTTCTTACTCAAATGGGATAGGAGGAAACAGAGGTCTAATCCTAACTAATAATTGTGTGACAAGGTCAGGACACCTAAATAAGATGCATATGTTATTGAGAGCTTTGACTAGTCAATGAGATTTGATAGCATATAATTAATCAAATAATGTTTTGATTAATTATATGCTATCAAATCTCATTGACTCATAATAACATAAATTGATTTTCTCCATGTTAGTGTATCCCTAATCTGGTCTTTCAGTTCTTCTAATAGTACACCCATCACCACTTTAACTGAATTAATCCATCTCACTACTGGCATCATCATCTTTTTCCTTCCATTGTCCCAGCATGAGAACTTTTTCTAGAATACTGATTTTTTACATAATGCATCCAAAGTATGATAATTTGAGCCTCATTATTTGTGCCTTATGATAAATTGGATTGATTTGTTTGAAGGTCCATTTATTTGTTTTTTTGGATGATCACATGATTACTCTTTGCCTTCTGGTTCTTCAAAGTCCAACTTTTGCTTCCAAAGAATATCACAGGGAATAAAATTGCTTGCACTATTCTGATATTTGTAGATATAGGCACATTTGAATATATTTTCCAAGCCTTCATGGCTGCTGTTCCAAATGCTAATTATGGCATATTCTTTTACTATTGATGGTTGATCCTAAAAGGCAGATGGTATCTACTAGATATCTTTATTATCAATTTTAATTTTTTGTTTTCATTAGTTTGGACTTCTTTATATTTATTGTTAATTCCATTTTTCTCACACTGCTTGGCTTTATTACTAGACCTTGCAGAAAGAGTCACCAACATAGCATGGGTTATTGATGTTTCTTCCTCCAAAACTATATTCACTGATCCAGATTGCCTTAATCTATGTATATTCAGCACATAGATTAAATAACTAAAGAGTGATTATACACCCTTGTTTAATTCCTTTGCCAATCTGAAGCCAACCTGTTTTGCCATGTTCTGACCAGACCAGGGGTGGGCAATTAATTTTCCCAAATGGCTACATGGGAAATGGGACTGTTGCAGAGGGCCAAACTAATAGGGCTGCTGCTATGGGCCAGACAGCCAAAGGGCCAGATTTAGCCCCTGGGCCATAGAATGCCCAGGTCTGGTCCAGTCTGTAGATTACAGCTTGATGTGCTCAGACAATCAAATGCCTCCCTATAATCAATTAAGAATAATGTACTAATTAGGCTCAGCTGAACATTGGCCATAGATTGCTAATATTATTTGATAGTACAAAATGATTAACTAAGACCACTAAACATATTTTAAATGTTTTTGAAGAAGCTAAACATGTATTTTCTTTTTAGAACTGTGGTGAAATGTAGTATTGCCAAATCGCAAGCTCTTTATAGTGCCCAAAGAGGAGTGAAAACAAACAATGCTGCCATCTTCAAAGTAGGTGCTATCAGCATCAACATTCCTCAGCATCCAGCTACTCTTCACGGCATGATGGTTCGCAGTTCCCATCAGCTTTCAAAACAAATATCAGATCTCATCAGACAACCATCTTCAGTGTGAGTATTTATTTGTTTAGTATTATTTAGTAAGCTTACATTCTGTCGCCTAGAGGTATTATAATTGGTACAGTCCTCATGTGGAAGCCTAGCTCATTATATAACTAACTATAGTTCTTTGACCAAAACAGTATTACACTGTTTAGAACATATGATAATTGTATGTTCCTTTTGTATAAATAGTTCACAACCTCTCAAAGAAGATATTGCAACCCCACTACCTGCAGAAAAAACACCTACAAGTGTAAACCAGACACCAGTGGAAACAAATGAATTTCCGCAATTGCCAGAAGGTTTGGAAAAGAAGCCGATAGTTCTTAAATTCAGTGCCATGATTGATGGAATTGCTATTGGGGCAGCACTTTTGCCTTCGTTGAAAGCGGAGTACAAAATGGGAAGAATGCGAAGTCACGGAATGACAGGTAATGGATTTTATTATTATATGAGGCATCTTAAAGTAACAGTCATAATTCCATTCAACTAAAATTCTAATACATGCCACTAAGATTTGTACAATTCCTTCAGGGGGCATTTCTGTTATTTTTTCTGCATTTAATAAAGGAATTTTGTCTCCCTGTTTCATGCCTGATTGTAAACTTCTGAGGCTCCTCAGTTCCGAATTCTAATACAGAATAATTGATAAGCAAATTCATGTATTTAAAACTAGTCAGTTATTGTAGTTCTTTGGATCCTGTTCCTCTTATGAGATTGACTACAAATTTTACGATGCAGAAATTAGAATGGAAAATATTGTTAAAACATTAAAAATTTGGATTGTGCAGCATTTTTAATTGAAGGGAGAAGATACTCCAGGGGTAAGAAAATAGCATCTTTCAGCAACCCCTTGAAGTAGTGTTTGGATTTTCCGGGATCAAGGGCTGCCCTCTGTAAATCCCCAAACTACTGTGTTTTCTCGAAAAAAAGGCAAGGTCTTATTTTATTTTGCCCCACGAAATATGGATTTGGGCTTATTATAGGGGGAGGGCTTATTGTTTTGGGCTTCCCGGGCAGCTGTTGCCATGCGAGCTGGCTCTCAAAGAGCCGGGCACAGCCTCAGGGGCGAAGCAGCCATGAGGTGACCATGCTCCCGAGCAGCTGCCCGGCAAACCCCCTCTCCAGCCGGACAGAGCGCCATTCACTGACCTAGGGGGTATCCCTAAGGCACCAAGCCACGTGGAATTCTGCCCGCTCCCCAGCTCCCATGGCTTGGCACATTTGGGATATCCCCTAGGTCAGTGCATGTAGCTCTGCCCAGCTGGAGAGGGGGGGTGCACGAGCACCTGTTCCGCCCCCAGCAAGCATGCCTCACAGCCTCACCATGCCCTGGCCCAACTCTCCCTGCAGGGCCAGGGCGCCACCGCGGCGTTCCGAGCATAACTTCTTCTCGGGCTTCCAAACTCCAAAACTCGGCTGCAGAGTCTTCCAGCAGCAGCCACTCTAGGAGTGTGCTCTATGGTTGTGGGCTGGCTGTTGGACAGAGAGTCTTCCAGCAGCCAGCCCACAACCATAGAGCGCACTCCTGGAGCGGCTGCTGCTGAAAGACTCGGCAGCCAAGTTTTGGAGTTTGGAAGCTGGAGAAGAAGTTATGCTCGGAGCGTGGCAGCAGTGCCCTGCAGGGAGAGCTGGGCCAGGTCATGGTGAAGCTGGGAGGCATGCTTGCTGGGGGTAGAACAGGCACTCACACAAACCCCCCCTCTCCAGCTGGGCAGAGCTCAATGTACTGACCTAGGGGTTATCTCTAATGTGCCAAGCTGCAGGAGCTGGGGGGTGGGCAGAGCGCCACATGGCTTGGCGCCTTAGGGATACCCCCTAGTTCAGTTAATGGCGCTCTGCCCGGCTCGAGAGGGGGTTTGCCGGGCAGCTGCTTGTGAGCGTGGTCATCTCATGGCTGCTTCGCCCCTGAGGCTGTGCCCAGCTCTTCAGGAGCCCGCTTGCAAGGCAGCAGCCGCCCGGCAACTCTCCCCTCCAGCCAGGCAGAATGCCACTCCCCAACCTAGCAGTATCCCGAAGGCGCCAAGCAATGTGAGCGCCTCCTCCCCTGGTTCCTGTGGCTTGGCACCTTTGGGATACCACTAGGTCGGTGAGCGGTGCTCTGCCTAGCCGGAGGGGGGGGGGTTGTCCAGGGGGCTTATTTTCGGCAGTGGGCTTATATTTTTGCCCATGCAAAAAATGTGACAAGGCATTAGTTTCAGGACAGGTCGTATTTTCGGAGAAATATGGTAGGTATGCTTGCTGCAAGACTTGAAGGCAGATGTAATGTTTATTCCCCTGTGTCTTGTATTGCACCTTTTTCATTTGAATTAAAGGGCTGCAGAAACATACTAAACACACCAGCTCTTCTGAATTTTAGGGTAATCCTCACCAGTGATGGGATTCTATTTTTTTTTTACGACCAATTCTGTGGGTGTTGTTGGTGGGCGTGGCATGGCTTGGTGGGCGTGACAGGGGAAGGATACTGTAAAATCTCCATTCCCACCCTACTCCAGGGAAAGGTTACTGCAAAATCCCCATTCCCTCCTGATCAGCTGGGATTTGGGAGGCAGAGAATAGATGGGGTCGGGGCCAGTCAGAGGTGGTATTTACCAGTTCTTGGAACTACTCAAAATTTCTGCTACCGGTTCTCCAGAACTGCTGAATACCACCTCTGCCCCTCACCCAAAAATGTACAATGGTTACATAGTCTTCATGCAGTTGTATAAAGTATCTGGGGTTTGAAAATATGAATCCATGTGCATTTGGAAGTAGTTTACTGAACTTAGAAAGTAAACCAGCAGTGGGAAATTATTTCTGTAATCACTGTACTTATAAGAGATTATCACACTATTTTTCCTTTCCCAGGTGCACAAACAAGATTCACATTTGAACTTCCAAATCACAAGTTACGATTCACTTCCAAAGTGTCTGCCACTGATATGTCTACCATACCTCCTTCAGCTAGTCTCAACCTCCCTCCTGTGACAATGTCAGGCAAATATGTTATGGAGGAACATGATACTTACTCAGATCAAATATGGAGTATAGATGAACTGCCAGCTAAGCAGGGTTATTATCTCCAGGGAAACTATTTGCGTTGTGTGGCTGAGGTTTGTATTACAGTTTGTCTTTACAGATAGTCCTTGACGTATACCCACAATTGAACCCAACATTTCTGTTGCTAAGCAAGATTTTGCCTCATTTTACAACCTTTCTCGCCACAGTTTTAAGCACATCATTGCAGTTGTTTAAATTAGTAACAGTTATTAAGTGCATCTGCTTTTCCCATTGACTTTGCTCGTCAGAAGGTTGCAAAAGGTGATCACATAACCCCGGGACATAAATATGAACCTGTTGCGGACTGCCTGAATTTTGATCACGTGACCATAGGGATGCTGCAGGGGTTGTAAGTGTGAAAAATGGTCATAACTCACTTCAGTTCCATTGTAACTGAACAATCACTAAAAAAATTGTCAAGGACTGTGTCTGTGTTATCTCATTTTTTTAATTTTAATTTAAGTTTATTATAAGATAAAATACAAATAAAAACAAAAGGCAAGAAAGGCAAAAGAAAAAGAAAAGGTGCAAAAGTAAAGAAAGAAGAATGAAAAGCAGTAACGGCTGACTTTTCAGTGCAGGGGAGTATAGTATCTTTTCCTTTTGTTTTACATTTCTAATTAATTCAGACTATTTATATAACTAAGTCAATCTAACCATCAAAACCTTCCATTTTGAAGTCCAGAAGCAGTTACGAACTTACAATTTTTTTTTAATTGGCTTCTTATGCATATTTTTAATTTGACAAAATTTATCTTTTATGTTATAATCCTCACAATGGTTGATTCATAGTTTTCTCCCTCTATTTTGTAAGTACCCAGTTGTTATAAACAAATACTATTTTATAATTAGCCAGTTGTTATAGTCCAAAAAAGACTCAAATTGTATCTTTTGAGTCCTTTTTAGTCTCAGCATATAGTACCACCTGGTTGAGTACCACTATAGTATCACTAGGCTGGTAAAACGAATAAGATTGAGCCTGATTAGTACTTCAGTGGGAGACTTTGAGGAAATACTATGTCCATAAATGAGATAAGGGTGTTGAAAAATAACACCCTGGTAGATAACAGTGTTAAATCATTCCTATATGTCTGCAAATAACATTACCATATTTTTCGGAGTATAAGATGCACCGGAGTATAAGACACAGCAAGGTTTTGAAGAGGAAAATAAAAAGGTTTTGCTCTCTGCAAACCTCCCCAAAACAGCTCATTTTTCACAAAAACGAGCCCAGTTCCCCCGCCCCCAAAAGGCACGAATAGCCTTTAGGGAGCTTGCAGAGTGCTCGGGGGGGAGCAAAAACAAGCAAAAAACAGCCTGTTTTTCACAAAAACGGGCCCATTTTTGAAAAAAGGGGGGGGGCATGGATAGCCTTTAGGAAGCTTATAGAGTGCTCCTGGGAGCTGGGGGGGGGTAAAATTGAGCAAAAAAGGGCCATTTTTTCCTCTCAAAGCTTCCTAGAGACTATGCATGGCCATTTTGGTGAAGGGGGCGGGGTTTTGGGAGGCAAAAAATGCTGTATTCAGTGTATAAGACGCCCCCAGATTTTCAGCCTCTTTTTTGAGGGAAAAAGGTGCGTCTTATACTCCGAAAAATACGGTAAATAGATACAGCAGTCAACACAACTTCAAATAAAATTTTCCTTTTTCAACATCCAACATAATTCTTAATTTGAATTATTTTACAAAGTCAAAATTACAGATCATGAATTAATATTTATTATCTTTTTTTGCCTAGGTTGGGTCCTTTGAGCATAACCTTTCAACAGATCTTTTGAACCATTTGGTTTTTGTGCAGAAAGTATTTATGAAAGAAGTCAATGAAGTAATACAGAAAGTCTCAGGTAGTCTAATGGCTTTAAACTTTTATTAAACCACTTGATGGCCTAACAGGAATGTTTCTTAGGCTGTATTAAGCACAAATATTATATTGTTTTAATATTTTATAAATTCTACACATAAAAGCAAGTACTGAATGTGTACCCTTTGTTAAAATATTTTTAAAAATCATGTATTTGATAAAATTAAAATTATTCTGGAATAAAATACAATCCCATAAAAGCCAGAACTAAGATTTATGACTTCTTGGATTTATTAATTTTTAAGTCTCAGGAAGGTGTTTAATGTATTGTAGTTGAACTGTGCATTTTTTTTCCATTTAGAAATGAATATTGAATTTAATGCTGTTTGTTCCTAAATAAATACAGTATATGAAGGATTACAGCTGCAATAGATCCATTCAGTTCTATTAAGATGTGTGTCATTTTATAAAGCTTTATGTGGACTAACTTAACAATTGTCAATAATTACTGCAAAGACTACAGTATAAAATAAATTTGTTTTCTGTCAAACAAATAGTATTCAGAAACCTGAGCATATTTTATGTTAAGCAGCCAAACACTAGCATTGCACACTCTTAATTATTCAACTATTAAAATAAAATCTCCTTATTTTTGGTTCTAGATAATTACCTTTGGGATGATTTTTCATTATAACTTTATGTTGTTTTGAAGATTATGGAATTTCTTCATTTCATAAAATAAATTTATTTTAGGAGCAGATTTACCTGGCATTTTATTCTATTTTTAAAGAGAAATCAGCATTTATAGCTGGGCTAGAATAGGATGTCAAATTTTACTCCAATGAGCAGAAATAAAGATGCATTAGGCATAATAGAAATATTCACCATGCAGCTCATTGCAGTTTTTTTTTTTAATTGCAGATAATGATGCATAGTTTGGTTCTTAAATATGATGTCAAATATTGATTTAATAACAAGATACAAAATTATGTGTACAATTGTGTAATTATATTTATAGGAGGGGAACAACCTATTCCTCTATGGAATGAACATGATGGAACAAATGATGGAGAAAAACCAAAAATTCTCCTTTACTCTTTGAGTCTTCAATTTAAGGTATTTTTATTCTATTTGAATCTGGAGATTTATTTAGGTGCATTCCAACTGGGACAAAAAAAACAAATTAACTATAGAATGAGTTGTGTATGTATGCAGGTAGGAGTGTTATTTTATAAACTCCATTCAACATCGCAAGTAGCTTCAACATGTTTGTAACTTAGTAACTGACCTCATTTTATATTTTACCTTTTCTTTACTAGGGAATCCAGGTAACAGCTACAACACCATCAATGTGGGCTGTACGCTTTGAAACAGGACTGATAGAACTGGAGCTTTCAAATAGAATACAAGCGAAAGCTATGCCAGGTGGCACCAGTTATTTGAAGCTTTTTGCTAAATGCCAAGTGGATTTAAATTTGGCTTTAGGACAGATTGTTAAACATCAGGTTAGTGTTTACTATACATTTCTGAAATTACAGTTTCATAACTGATTGTAATATACTTTTTCCCCCTCCCTAAAAATTAAAAAAACAAAACATTAAAGCAAAATGTGTCCAACATTGGCAACTTTAAGACTTGTGGATTTTAATTCCAAGAATTCCCCAGACAGCATGGCTGGTTGGAGAATTCTGTAAATTAAAGTTCACAAGTCTTAAAGTTGCCAGGATTGGACACAATGTTCCCTCTAATTTTTTTTCAGTGTGAGCAGAAAAGTATAGTGTTTGAGCGGCATATTTTCATGCCTGAGCACCTGAATTTTTTTCACAGATATCACCTATGAAGAATAAATCATAACTGGCAAGAAAGGTCAAAAAATGGGGCAACAT